TATATTCCACCCAATTGTGATTGTGTCTAAATTATTGAAATCTGAATCATGGTCAGCTCAAAAGAGTAAAGATGCAAAGAACAGTATAGGTATTGTATCTAAAGCTTAAGTACAAACAATATAATTATCATCCCTTTTAAAGAAAAATTTTAACTAAAATGCTTCTGATAGAACCATGTAGATGTTCCAGCTTTCGCTTCAGCAGTTAACCATCTGTAGCTGTTTAACTCTAGCTCCTACTGAGTTCCAGTTTATGAAAAAAAGTGTGCATATATATATATATATATATATATATATATACATATAAGTTTTCAACAAGCCCCTGAGCTGTGTGTTTTGTGAATCATAGGACAAAGTGATATGTCTGCCCCATATGTGAAAAGAACATCTGGCTTAAAAATACAAAATAAGTTTGTCTCTAATGAGGGTTATGCATCTGTGTGTCTATTGGTAGCTAAGACCAAATGCGAGTACCACTGTTACTCTTTTCTTCTGTTTCCTGTAAACATTAGGTTTATTTGTATGGGAGACAAAATAATCTAGCTCATGTCCCGTTCCTCAATCAGCTTCTCAAAATGAACTTCGTTTGTGATCTCAGTGAGTCATTATGGCATAATTAAAATTCTAGCATGATATGCTATTTGTTGAAAAATGTTGATTTTTTTTTTTTTTTTTTTTTTGGTGGAACAGAAAAACTACAGTTCAAAAACTGTGATCAGGTAAATCAATGCCATGATTCACTGATATTAACAGACGCCCTGAAGATTTAAAATGCTTGCTCTCTATTTCGAGAGAGCAGCCGAGAAGAAAATGCCTAGCAGGGGTTAAACCCAAATGCCTGCGCTGCAGCCTATTTCTGTCAACACTTTGTTCAGGAAATAAACATTTATGCTTTCTGAAATGAAAGTGTATTTTTGAAGACTAGCCGTCAGATATTTTCTGCCCTTCACACTTTCAAATGCTTAGCCTTTTTTGTAAGTTGACTGCAAAGTGCATCAGTTTGCCAGGCTAAAAAAAGAGTGCTTGATGCGTGCCCATGGCACCACTGTCAACCTCCGAAGTTTCCAGTAGAAGAAGGCAAGATGGTTGGCACAAAACATGCTTTCTTCAAGCCTATTACCTCAGGGGTACCTGCCTCTTGAGCAGCTTTTCAATCCTTCCAAATGATGATATTCCCAACTGTCGTCTGGTTTATTTGGAGCACACTGCATTGCAGATAAACATGCTATTTAACTGCCGGTCAAGGTAGAGAGTCATTCTGCTAGCAAAATGCCTGAGATACATTAAATGGCACTGACTCTGGGACAGAGATGAAGAGAGATCCGAGTTGTCAGTGATAGGCACGAAATGGGTTGTAGCTGGGGAAGAAAAAATGTGCCATGGTATCAGTGTATTTTAAAAAGCTGTAATACGGCTGAACATTTAAAACTATAACCTGTCACATGCCAAAGATTAAGATCCCGGGATGTACAAAACAAGAGGTTCACACAGGACAACTGCAAAGCATATTTTATTTCACTTGGGAAAGAGGTTTCTCTCCAAAGATAGCTAAATATCACAGATGATGAAGACCTCTAACTTGTAGCCCAAGAGCTATAAAATACCGTTAAATGCCTGATAAAAATACAAGTAATTATCATTTGGATATGAGCATGTGTAAGCCAATAGAGTAATTATGTTTTGAGAAAATTTCTTCGACTCAGCTTATTAAAACATGCATTTTCATTTAGGCCTTGTTTATTTAGAATTTTATACAGTGCTCAGGTCTATTGATAAAAATGTTATTGTATCCATGTGTTTTTATGTATGTGCAATATAGCTAGCACTCCTAAAGGAGAGGTAAAATAATTTTATGGAATTAAGATAAAATCTCTATTATGTATTTGGCCTCCTTAGCGACCAGGTGAACGTGACTGTCTCCTAACAAATCCGTCTAAGTGCTGCTCAGGCATTTAGGCAGGAGAGTGCTTTGTACTAGCTTCCAGATTTCGGTGGTGTGGTAGGAAAGGGTTAAAATGAGAGACAGCAATTTCTAGACCCAAGAAAAGATAGAAGTTCAGACTTTTATTTTTTAAAGCATGGATTGTTCTTTTTCCTGTGGATTTGCAAAAATTATACTTCCTTTAATCAGCTGAAATATATTTGAGGATATCAAGCAAGCAAACTTGTCAAACCTTTTGTGCTATATCCATCTCTCCATGCTCCGTGACCGAAAAAAAAAAGCCTTTTCTTCACCTTTTTTCCTTATTTCTCTTTATTTCATAGAGAAGCAAAAGAAAAAAGTTAGTTGTACAGGAAGGATACACACACACACACACACAGACACACACAGACACACACACCCATCAACATAGAACAAATTGCAGGATCAACTTTAAAAATGAAATTTTATTGTATTTTTGCTTAATTAAACCCCAAAGAAATGTGTGAAACGTTGTTATGGCTGGAACATTGTTAATTTGTAAATCACAGGGACAAAGGGGGCCCGGTGCAACTTTAAAGTTTCCGTGCACGTAAATGTCGATAGCGTGCCTTCTCCATCATCAGCACTAAATTCACATTGATGCCTCTTTTCTTCTCTGTATTGATCCTTCCATGAGAACGTAGATTTGTATCTGTTAATTAATGCGTCCTGAAACAGCGTTTGTATTAATCAGGCAGATAAGAAAAATTGGATGCCTGCACCCCCCTGACAACCGTAAAAGTGCTGGCCCTGATAAAATCGTGGATGGACCTCAATAAAAAAGTTCCTCCTTCCACTCAATAAACTAATCATCCTGCTTTTAATTATTCGGCAGAAAGATGTGTGGAGATTGGAGAATGTGTAAATCTATTTACTAACAGCAGTGTCTGGGAGGGAGAATAGGGCTGTCACAGGAAGGTGCTGCAGGCTACACGCTCTGTCCATCTGCTGCTGCAGAAAAACTGCGGCTTGGGAGCATGAAAAGGAGCGAGAAAACTCCGGCAAATTGAAAAGATGCATTCCTTTTTTGCTCATAACTTTCTAGATGATTTTTTGGCCTTTTAATTTACACAAGAAATTCCTACTTAGTATGTTTTCTTGAGGTAGATATTTGGATTTACATTTCACCTTTTTTCCTTGGAAGGGGATAGAAAAAAGAGCAGTGTGGTTTTCTGTTTGTTTATTGTGAATATAACATTGCTAAAATTACAAGCACCTGGAGCCAAACCTATTCAGGTGAAATAATTTGTTTTCTCTGTTGAATTGTTTAAAATGTTATCCTCTATTATATCTCTAAGAGGATATTTATTAATTTAACCCAAATGCAATGACAAAAACAGAGTAAGAAAAAAGACTTACGTAGCCAGTCCAAAAGAAATCCTGTCACATAACATGCAAGCACCTTAATAAACAATGAAAGAAATGCATTTTTTAAATATGCCCTAAAGACTCCCTTAAGAAAAGCTTGACTCGTCCCTTCTGATGATTTTATTAAGCACTTATAACTAATAGTACCAAATGGCAAACCATTATTTTTCACCAATAAGTCAGGAAATCATTTCCTTTTCTTTACCGTGCTGCAGTTTCTAGTATCATATGGGATATGCACAATTTGATATGAATGGAAAGGACAGCAGCAGTGACCATAAGCAGCAGCCTAAAAAGGTTGGGCATCAGTGGGTATTTATGATGTGGGTAATAATGTCTAGAAAGGGAGCAAAAATAGATTTCTTACATTGCATTATTAAAATTATCCTCCTTTTCTGTGGAATTACTGGTGGCAGGACCTTAAATGATGGTACCACTCTCCTCAGAAACCATGGGGTCGGGGGGTTACCCTTAGAAGTCTTAGGTATATACTTGGAAATAAAAGCGTAGTTTTAAGAAGCATTTGCTTTTTAGGACTTGGGAAAAGCATCTGATCATCAGGTATCTTCACTTTAGAATGCAGGTCTAGTCTCTCTGACATGTGAATATACATATTCACTCCTACGTAGCCTCAATTCTACTGCTTCATCTTTCTCTATTGAACATTTTCTTTTTAATTTTTTTGCATATGTTTTCTCCAGCTCAGAAGAGACTTTAAATGTTCATGTGTGAATGCATCCCAGATTTGCAGAAAAGAATTGATCAGCTAGATAAGTCAGATAAAAATAACATATTAATAACACAGCACTTAGTGAATTGCATGTTAAACTTAATGTTTGGGTAGGTGATATTTTATATTTCCCAAATGCAAAATTTAAGATACAAGTTAATTTGTCTTGCTCAGGGTGAAAGAGCCAGTAGCTAATTGGAGCCAATATTTACATTCAGAATCTGACTCCTTTGCACCAAACCCTGCTACCTTTATTTATATTTAATTTTTTAAATATCTGGATCTTAATAACAATAGTGAATAGGGCTTTTCTATTTGGTGAGGTGGCCAGGCTGCTAAGTATTCCACCTTCTTTTATGCCAGTTATAACTAATTTTAAAGGAAATTCATGTTAAATATCAGTGGGGGGAAACAGCCAATCAAGAAAGCTCCCCTAGTTGTAACTCATTATCCATTGTGCTTATAACTATTAATATCATACAGAAATGTTTCCATGGTGTGCTGAGCTCTGTGGCCTACATTGTTTGTTTACCTTTGTTTTTTACCTTTTCTTTTTTAACTTTCATTCTGTTTATCAATAGTAGTTTTTAGAGATGAAATAGATGGCTTGCTGTAAGATGTGCCTGAAGACTTCAACCAGAAATCAAGTATAAAAATTGCATGGTATTTTCTTCTCAAATGAAAGAAAACTACATCTCTATTATATTCCCCTAAGCTGTGTCTGTAAAACTTATAGAAAATACCCACAAATTGAAAAAGCTGGTTTGTGACTTTCACTTTGCTGTTTGCAAAGTGATCCAGGGAAAATTTTAAGAGTTTCTAATCAAAGCTCAGCATAATTTTGAGCAGTGATGCAGAAGCCAGCTACCATATGAAACTAATGTTGCATTATGAAATTATGGCTTTAAAGTAACTTGATCTGCCCATTTTTCCATGCAGGCTTCTCCACGCTGTCCCTGGCGGACCAGATGAGCCTTCTGCAGAGTGCTTGGATGGAAATTTTGATCCTTGGTGTCGTATACCGATCTCTTTCCTTTGAGGATGAACTTGTCTATGCAGACGATTATATAATGGACGAAGACCAGTCCAAATTAGCAGGCCTTCTTGATCTAAATAATGCTATCCTGCAGCTGGTAAAGAAATACAAGAGCATGAAGCTGGAGAAAGAAGAATTTGTCACCCTCAAAGCTATAGCTCTTGCTAATTCAGGTTGGCATATCGACATGGTCATTGTTATATTTTATTATATGTCAGTTTTATCCCTCTCCTTAACTTCTTTAGGGATTTGCTAGACCTAGTTTGTAAATTTTGTATGAGTCAGCAAAATTATAAAAATTATAGTCAGTATCACTTTCTAGTGGAAAGTTAGAAATAGGAAAAATATACTGAAAAAAGGAAGTAGTTTCATTTGACTTGCTTATTGAAAGCTTTGAAACTTTTATCAGCTAATGCGTCTACTAATTTGAATCATAGCAAAGCAAAAGCTCCTGTAGGAATAGCATAAATGGACACTCCCGGGACAAAATTAGCTCCATTGTCTTTTACACATAAGTTAAAATGAGGGAATTGATACACACAAACCATTTTTCCCTTAAAAATGCAAATTATGCAATTGGGAAAATACATTTCGTGTTGCTTTGAGTTTGGGTTATCAAAGATTACTATTTTCTTACATTCTGGAGTTCTTTAGAAGTCAAATTCTGCCTATGCAGTAAGGGTTAAGAATTACGGGAATAACTGTTGTGTACATTTGAACTGAAAGGTGCTAAAATAGAGAGCAACCTCTGATAAGTAAAAATCGTTGGTGCTTTGTTGTTTTTCCCTTTGTGCCTCTTTTAATGCTTTATTATGGTCTTAAGTCTCTTTCGGCATTTGCATAAAGTTCAGGATAGATCCCTCCTTAATGACGTGCCGATCATTAGATACCTGTGTGTCAATAACATGCTCTGATGCTATGTACCATTGACAGTCACACCGTGCCCCTCCATCTGCTTTTGTTTTGACCCTATCTTTGAACTTTATCTTGGTTGCCGGCCAGTAGTTTTCCCTTTAATTACAAGAAGGAAACTGTCAATAAAATCTGTTAAATGGGATGCAATGAGTGGCTTGAATGGGCGGACGGCTATTTGTTCAAATTCTGCAGCATTCAAGGTATTGACAGTTTGTTTTCTGGGGCCATATGTGACGATCAATCTCAGGCTGGGCTCAGCCGCGCTGAAAAATGAAAAACCAGATTGCTTTTGCTTACTTGTGGATGACGACTTTGTGATTTGGCGCGGTCCTAGTGAGATGAGACCTTCTGCCCAAATTGTCCCCATGAGAGCCAGGGACGCGTGACTGTTTTTAGAAATAATTTTTAATTGATTTTGTAATTAACAGTTCATCTACAATATTGATGCATGAATCCTTGGACTGATAGGAGGGAAATTGTTTTCAACAATGAAGTTGTACTTTCCTATTTGTCTTCATAATAGAGGTTAGCATTTCACAGTTTTAATTGTGAATATAACCCTCTTCCTCCCACCATGCACCCCTCTCCTCCTACTCTCCTGTGAAATTATAAAATATGATTCCCTATGACAAATGACATTGTTATTATAAACCCTGAAGAACCCCCCTGCCCTCCCTCTCCAGAAGATCAAAGTGAGAAATTTTCTGAGGATTTATTAGTTTGTATGGACTTCACTTTATAGCATCTCTCATAATTAGATGAAATATTTTATAACAGTGGTTTTGGGAAGAATTTTTTTCTTGGCAATCTTGAAACAATTCTAATTTAAAACATTTACTTGGTTAATTGTTTTTAAAATGTACTAAGCCTGTGTTATATCTTTAATGTTTCAAATTGCTTTTTAAAATTATTAACTAACCATGAATGCTGAGCAATGCTAAAACTTTATCAACAAAATTGCTAAAATTGTACGATTTTAGATGTTGGATGTATACTTTATGGCTAAGTATTATAATTTAGAGTACATGAATTAATTAGTAGCATTTCTGTCTCTGTTGCTTAGAAGTATAAGCATTAATGTTTCTGATAGATAAATGTCCTAATCCACATATTCTGCTTCTGGGAGAGGAAGTGACTACCTCACAGCAGTGACTGATGATTGGAAAGCTGTTAAACAACTGGTTCATTTACTTTTCATGTCTAAAATCAGAAATGGTCAACAAGCTCTCTGTTTTTCTCTTATCATGGTAGTTGAGTAGCATTGCTTTTTTCAAAAAAAGTCTGTCCCAAAATGTTCTTACAGGTGATTCCATCATTCATTTAGCCCCTGAATACCAAGAAAAATCAACTGAATCAGAGTTCATACTAAAGAATAACTGATTAAGTGCTCTAAGTACTATTTTAATTTCTAAATTATGCCACTTCTACTGTGTTGTGTAATTATGGCCTTTGCCCATCTAACCTGGAAGCCCCGTCATTTTAGTATGGGACAAACAACTCAGAAAGTAATTTTCTTTGATACTATTAATATGTTATTTATTCCATTTCTGACTGTTATTTGGAGCACAGCAATAAAGTTGTAGATCCAATATTGAACGTAGATTTGAACTTGCTTAGATCCAATATGGTTTTCTTAAACTGCCCATACACATATCAGTATAAAAATATCGTAATACTCTAGACACCTTAAATGGCTTCTGTTTTTTTGTGGTCTCTCTCTCTCTCTCTCTCTCTCTCTGTGTGTGTGTGTGTGTGTGTGTGTGTGTGTATGTGTGTGTGTGTATGTGTGTTTAGGAATTCCAGATTAACATAAGTAACTAAATTTTCATGCAAAAAAGAAAATTTATTTCAGTGTAATTTAGGTAGATATCCTAGCTTTTCCTGCATGGATGTAGATGATAATAACTATTGTCTCCTTTATCTTAATTTTACCTTATTTTAAACATCTGTATTTATTCAATAATTATAAATGTTGTGCTTATGCTTGGAAAACAGGCATTTGGCTTCCTGATAATGGCTGTACTATTTTTGGTAGCTTTGTTTCTGTCATAAGTGAATTCAGGAATACTTGTAACACCAGAACATCACTGGAAACTCTATCTTCATGTATATGACTGAAACAACAATATCTCATGAACTTTATAATTCTGCAATTTTCACGCTCAAATCTTTGAAAACCCTAAATAATAGTTCCAATTACTTTTGACGATAAGAAACTTACAGCCATGTATTTAAGCCATGTATTCTCTTATTTTTGAGTATTAACAAGCTCCTGGGTAATTATTGCATCCCTGATATATCTCTGTGGGATGGAAAACTCTACATCACAATATTGTAATTCCTAGGACCCAGTTTTTTCATGCATACAAGAAGAGGTTTGACTAATATCAAATTATTTCCAATTCTGGAATTCTATGATGATTCTACAATTAATTTCATCTCTATATTAGAAAATATAGTAAAATATTTCTATAAACACCTAGGTAAGATTATATAATGGGATTTATTTCTCTTGATTGGATCTCTTGATTCTTATGTTAAGAATTTGTTTGAGATTACATACTGTGAGATGAAAAGCAGTTAAAGCTAACGAATCACTTTAGTCTGACCATTCTCTGTTGCTCAAGTCATAAGACCCTCAATCCCTAAAGCAGCCACTCATATCCCAGCCTTTGTCACCCCTGCTCTATCCCAGCCTGAAGCCAGGTGAGCCCAATCCGTTCAAGAATAAACATGTTTCAAGTTTTATTACTTCTACACATTATTTCCAGAATAATAGCACCTATTGATATTAAGCTACAAGTAATGATTTGGTTATCAATTTAAAATCATAAATAATAACAACCTCATGACAGCATTCTGTTCTTAAGGACAAATGGTTATGTATCCAGAGTTGTATAATTAATTCAAGGTATAGAAAGTTTAAGATTGCTGTAGGAAACTGGAATGGGCACCATATTTAATTAGGATATTTGGACCCTCGATATAGGTTTGGCTTAGTGCGTTTTTATTATCACTATAAGGGAAGCCTTTTTCAAAATTGTTTTTGTAATAACCACCCAATGAAATAGTAATATCTGTTTAGGACATATATACACACACATACATACATACACACACATATATATATATACACACACATTTATGCATATATACACATTGTGCCTAAAGAGAGGAATGTTTTCTACTCTCTAATTCTTCACCTACTTTGGGAGTACGTGGCCTAAATATGTAACTGTTTTCTCATCTGTAAAATAAGGCAGGTGAATTAAATAATGTCTAATATCCCTTAAATGGCCTAAACATTTTAGATTACTTTTAAGTAAAGGTGGCTAGTTTGGTTTGATACATGTATATATACATGCATATATGTGTGTGTGTGTGTGTGTGTGTGTGTGTGTGTGTGTGTGTGTGTGTGTATGTATGTAAAGTAAAACTGGGCCTTAGCCAGTTTTACAAAATTTTGACAGTTTGTTGATTTGATGTTCTAGAGATAGTTTTAGCTGCTAGTCAAAGGAGTATCCTTTTTCAGAATCTTTCTATAGACATTTCCTTTTTAAAGCTTCTTCTAGGGGCTCTCTTGATTCCCACAACATACCTGTGCAGTAGATGTGTCCAATATATATATTTACAGGTATGTGAAGAAAGCTGATAATCATGCATGGCTATTATGAGGCAGAAGGTGGGACCTTCTGTCCTTTGCTATCAGTAAGCTATTTCTATTCCACAAATAATTATATACATGTTTTTAAAAGGATTAATGTAGAAGATTTTACCCATTACAATTTCATATCTGGGAGCCTAAATTAGTATTTTCAATTTGATTATTTCCTGCCCACTTCCTTTATCTTGCCACCTTCTTAGCATTAGAGGACTATAAAACTACCCAGAAAAGTGACAACGGAATTGGACATGAAATGTTCACCAAGAAATTGTAACATTTTATGAGAAATGAATATATGTAAGCTTTGTGTGGCAGGTAGAACTTTGTTCCTAATTTTTACCCAGAACAAACCATAAGTAATACTATTAGGTAAATAAATAAATAAACCTTCCATCTCCTACTTTACTTTTCTTTGATTTTTACTCAAGTTTGCCTTCATTGGGTTATTTTATTTAGAATAATATATTTTGGAAGTGAGCTCTAAAAAATTTAATACAACCCTTAAATTTTAAACATATTACAGTATTGTAATTTTTAGGTAAAAAAAAAATAAAAGCTGGCTCTTAAGTGTTTCATGTTCAATGATTGCTCCAT